GAGTTGCAGACCGCCTAGGAGCAAGTCAAGTGACGAGTTCGCCATCAGGCAGTTCGCCACCAGGCAGTTCGCCACCAGGGAGCACTGCCGGCAGTTCGCCACCAAGGAGCACTACCAGGCAGTTCGCCCCCAGGCAGTTCGCCACCAGGTAGCTCGCCACCAGGCAGTTCGCCACCAGGGAGCACTACCAAGCAGTTCGCCACCAGGGAGCACTGCCGGGCAGTTCGCCACCAGGCAGTTCGCCATCAGGGAGTTCGCCACCAGGCAGTTCGCCATCAGGCAGCTCGCCACCAGGGAGCACTACCAGGCAGTTCGCCACCAGGCAGTTCGCCCCTAGGCAGTTCATCACCAGGGAGCATCACCAGGCAGTTTGTCACCAAGTAGTTCTCCCCTAGGGAGTTCGCCACCAAGGCACGTCACCACCAGGTAAAACACGAGGTACTTAGCCAAAAAATTTACACATCACAAAAAATGGTACGTGACCAAAAACGGTTACATCAATTTTGAATATAAAAGAAACAAGAAGAAAGAACTTATACATATAGTCCTCAATGACGAAATTCATAGGTGAAATACATTATCACTTACCTCCACTTTAGATACAATAGGGTTGCAAGTCGGGTTGGGTAGAAGTCAACCCTATCCCAATCCTAAGTTCTAAATCCCATCCCTAATCCTAACCCAACCCGACTTTCAACCCGATCAATCCAACCCTAACTAAATTCCTTTAACCCTAACCCAACCCAACCAACCTTCTTGTCATTCCTTAAAACCTCATAGAATTTCTCGATTTTAGATCTTAACTCAACCTTTACTACATATATTAATCCTATCTTTCATTAGTATTTGTTTGTTGACGATGTTTTTTTTATACAAAATTCAGAAAAACAAGTGTTAAAAATGACTATAGTTTATTATGAGTTATGACTTATAATAGATCTTTTTTGGGCAGCAAACAACATATAGGAGATGAAGAATAAAATTTTCAAAAAAAAACATAAAATAATGTTATTAAGGTTTTAGTCTTTTTGATTAGGATTAAGTGAAGTGGTTATCTTAAAAGAAATACATGATACTATGTGGTGGGGGCTATACAAATATCATGCATCTAAACAAATCAATGTATATTATATATTACATATAACATATATTTATATATTTATATATTACATGTACTATAGAGTCGGGTTCAGGTTGGGTTGGGTTGGCTAAGGGATCAACCCTAACCCAACTTGAAGTAAAGTCGGGTTCATGAATTTCAACCCTAACCCAACCTGAAGTAAAGTCGGGTTCATGAATTTCAACCCTAACCCTAATCTGAGCATCAACTTGACCCGACCCAACCCAACCCTACTTTTTCGGGTTGGGTTAGGGCCAACCCAACCCAAGTTGCAGCCTTAAGATACAATCAGTGGACTTATTAACAGAGAACTTTTATTCCAAACCCCGTAAGGCTCAATTTGGAAAGAGTACAAATGTAAATATGTACAATATAAATACGTACAAAATATAAGGTTTTGTACATATTTGCATTTGTACTCCTTCCAAACTAAACCTAAGGATCAAAATTCAAAAGGCTAGGTTGCGTTTAGTTTGAAACAAGGGGTAGGGATCGAAAGCTAGGAAAACATGTACAAACCTTGTATAATTTTTTCAACCTGACCCAAGTTGCAGCCTTAAGATACAATCAATGGACTTATTAACAGAGAAATTTTATCCCGAACCCATAAGGCTCAATTTGGAAAGAGTACAAATGTAAATATGTACAACATAAATACATACAAAATATAAGATTTTGTACTCTACATATTTGCATTTGTACTCCTCCCAAACTCAGCCTAAGGATCAAAATTCAAAAGGCTAGGTTGTGTTTAGTTTGAAACAAGGGGTAGGGATCGAAAGCTAGGAAAACATGTACAAACCTTGTATAATTTTTTCAATCTTTTTTTTTCTTTTCTTTTCCTTTCCTAAACTTTTCTTTTTTAAACCAAACACAACCTTAATTTCTAACAACCACGACAATGCAGCAGAAGAAAACAAATAAAACAGACTAGCATTCCTGATCAACATGCTTCATCACTACTGTAACTTTTTTGTAAGGGTAAATTATAGTTAGGTACCCTATACTTGGGGAGTAGTAACAGATAATACCTCGAACTTTTGAATGCAATACTTAGGTGCCCTGAACTTTTAGAAATAGACACCTAGGTCTACTCGTTAGTATTCTGTCAGTTAAACATTTGGTAATGCCTAAATTAGCCTTCTCGTTTATAGGAGAATATCAAGGCTGTTCATGGGTCGAGTTGGTTTAACATATTTTTTTTTTCAACCGACCTGACCTGGTTGGGTTACTTAAATAGCAAATTAAAATCGAACTGCCATTAAACAAAACCGACCCAGACATGAAGGGTCGGTTTGACATTGTTTGTGAACAGTCCTAAATTTGGTATAAACTTCCCTACTCAAAAAAGGAAAATAATCCTAAAGACAAAAATAATTCCCATTTAATTAATATTTTGTTGTTCTTTAATGTTAAAAATAAGTAACTAATTAGAAAAAAGAAACTAGGATAGGAATTACCTAATTAGGGAAAGACTAGAAAACCAGAAACTAACTAATTCGGTTGAATTTGGTTTAGTTTCGGTTTTCACAAACCGAACTGCATTTATTCCTCTTCGCAACCCGAAACCCATGATGATGAAGAAAAACCGATTAAATCAAGTTAGATCGGACTGATTTGATTGATTTAACATTGTTTATGAACAGCCCTAGAAAATATGTGAGCGGGCTGGAGATGGTTCAGACCTCACCTCCTAGAGGAAGCCTTTGCCTATGGATTTTATGAGGCACAAACGCTTATAGTTTCTCAATATGGTTCGCAACTCGACAGAAAGGACGGTGGTGTGGATGGCTAACCAGTATCAAGTAGAATATTTCCTGGAGCAACAACAAAGTTTCTGTTTGGTACCAATGCTCCAGGAAATGTTTTCAGCACTGGTACCTATTATCCAGTGCCACGTCATGTCCTTGTCACTGCTACTTCATGTCCCTGTTGGTAGCAACGAGCTGCAGTTCCAGGAAATGCCAAATCCAGCGTTGCTCCAAGCCATGTTTTCCCAATTTCCAAGGCGTGACTTGAACCAAACAAACAGGCGTTTTCTGGAGCCAAGGTTCAAAGTATCGACACATATCGGCCCATATTTGCCGATACGTATTGTTCCGGGACCCCTCCAATATGCCCCTATAGTGGGTGTATTGGAGGTCTGACCAGTTGAGGGGTAAGAGGAGACCTAAACTGCCCCCCCTTAACCGATCGCGAAAAATAAAAAATAAAAAAAGGCTCCAAAATGTGTATCGATTCGCCTGATACGCCCTTATCGATGTATTGGGCGTATCGATATTTTGAACGTTGCCTGAAGCACCATTTTTTTCCAACTTAAGGCTGATGTATTGCCATTTTTTGGAGCAACAGCATCAATACCAAACAAACGCCTAAGTTAACGGAGAATTGCTTTAGACTTCACAGGCAGTGTACATATGAAACTGCCTTGGGATCTAACATCATCATCAGCTTTCCCTCTTATAAGATCTGAGCCCACTTGTGGATCTAACAAGGCTGATGCAATTCAGGTGGATTTCTCCAGGATGTATAGAACAAACAACAAAAGGACGAGATGGGCTTATTTCTACGATTTCGTTAATGCAATTGGCATTATTGAAGCTCTCTTCCTTGCGTCAGGTTGGTTGTGCCTTTGTAGAAGAGGAGTTGTTGTGTCAAAGTCGATGGAGGACGGATACCTTGCAATCAGCCTTGTTAACGATTTTGTTAAGGGGCGACAAGACAACACAACGTTGTTTATGCAACGATTTTGTTTTCTTCTTCCCAGGCAACACGAAAAAGGGGAAACACAAAAGGGGGAGCGGCAGCAATGGTTGATCTTCTTCTCAGGCGGTGGCAATGGTTTCTTCTCCCCACGGCAACAATGGTTTTTTCTTAGGCGGCGGTAATGGTTTTTTCTACCGAATAGTACCTAATTTTTTAGGAGGGTTATTTTAGCCTTTTTAAATTTTATGATTTTAATAAAAAAACGTGGGCACTTCAGTAATTTTACATTAATATGTAACGTGAACTAACGATTACTGAAGTTTGAGGTAGGGTTTGATAAAGCTCTTATAGGGTGTTAGTATTGAGAACATGGCCTGACAAAAAGTCATCTATAATGTTTGAAGAAGGCTCCATTTGGGAAGAGTGAAGACACAAAAATGTTAAGTGTAAATATAAGTATGTCTAATTCATAGAAATGCAAAATTGGTTTAGTTTGATAAATTCATCTGAGAATATACACACCTTGGAACAATATTTAATAATATTGATTTATTATATTTTAACAAAAGATATTTAGGGTTCATTTGGTTTGCAGTTGGAATTGAAATGATCTATTTCTCTCACCTATTTGATTCAGACCAGAATTGAATCAGAATTGGCTGAAATGGATTTGCATTCCCAGGGGAGGGCCCCAAATGGCAGAATGCCATTACCATTCCACCAGGAACGAGAATGGGATTTTGGTTCCATCCAACCAAACAGTCGGAATCAAAACAAACTATTCCAATTCTGATTCTAAACCCCTGTTTGCCATAAACCAAACAGACCCTTAGATTTCAAATCCCAATATTTTTGAATATATCAACACTATATCTAATCACACTCTACACTCCCGACCATTAGCAAAGGTAAGATGAATTCTGAAACCTATCTCCTTTCAAAACCCATGCCAAAGCTGCTTCTTATTTATAATTGTATCAAGTATTAATCAAAGTCTCAAACAACCTTTATATGCAAATGCAATTATTATGCAATAGCGCTTAATCTGAAAGAACATAAAGAAAGAGAAAAGGGAGAAGGTTATGGTGAGTGTGCATGCAGGAGGAGAAATATTAAACCAAATTAAAGTTGAAGAAGAATTCACTCGAGCAACTTAGAAATGGAAAGACAAATGCTTCCAATCTTCTCTGCCGTCTCATCATACTGTTTCAAGGGCGACTCCTCCTCAAATTCGATAAACCCTTGCTCGCAAGTATCACAATCTGTTATGACTGCGCTAATCATGGTGTTGAATGTATTCATGTCCCGAGTTGGGATTGCTTTCGTTGCCTTCTCAAGGCTGTCAATCGCATCAATGTAATTCTCCTTGCACGATTCGAGTTGGGAAGCTGTGGTTTTGGAGGCGTCCTTGTTGGGCTCACTCATCATCCTATTCACCTCGGCCATTGCGGCCTGTACACTGCTGTTGCAGGCTTTGATTGCCATTTCGAGGACGGACACAGGATCCGTCTTGCCTGTGAGGTAGGGCCTGATGGAAGATTGACAGAGTTCAGAGTAGCCAGTCCTGTCGCATATCTTTTTGATGGCCGGATCAATTGTTGAGGATGCCGGAGACGGAGAGGCTTCAGGGGCTTCGCTTTCGCTGGGTGCCGGTGAGGTTGTTGGAGGCAATGAGACTGGTGCTTGGTCATCCTTTGAGAAGCTGGAAAGGGAGTAGACTGACAGAACGGCCTCTGCAGAGTACAAGAATGACAGAAGAGAGGAAAGGGAGATGATGAGTATTAGATGATTGAAAAGCTTCATCATGGCTGTTGTAGATTATTAGCTTAAGGGGAGAGAGGATTGGAGAGGGGGAAGAGCTCAAGAAGTCAAGAGTCGAGACAATGAGGAGAGATGATTGGGGATTGGAGGTGTTTGCCGTTCGGACTTTAGAAGGTGAGGGCATGTGGTTGGTTATCCGTGGAAACAGGATTTTCCAAATTCCAAGCCGTTACCGAACCTGTTTTTGCCCTTTTTAAGAGTGTTCTGTTAATTGTTGGTTTTTTAGCTTCTTTTTTACATTTCCGCCCTTGCCAATTGCCTAGCTACCTTACCTATGTATCATAACTTAATGCAGTAAGATTGACATTTCGCATGGCAACTTCAATGATGGCTTTACATGATTATTCGACGTGTTTATCGCACCACCGTCCATTCAACATGTTCATTACATGGAATAGAGATGGTGTAGGTCGGAACTAGGAAATGCCAATATTTATTGCCTTTTCAAAGGTTCCCATTTCCCAATGTGAAGTGTTGTGTGCTTTAAGCCTTAAAAGTCACACATCTTACCCATTAATTAAGCAATGTTATGACCCAAATCACACATCTTACTGGCTAATTAACTTAGAACCACAGAACCTGCTTCTATGGGTTTGGGCATTCGATGCATCCTGGGGTTTAAAACATTGTGTTAACCCGATCACTTGACAAACCAAGTTTCATTCTCCATCAAGGAGCCCATTATAAGGGTTTGTTTGATACTTTGATTTGACCAGTTGAGCACATCATCATCTTATGCTTGGCTGATATTTAATGCTTCGTTTCCCAAATTAAAGCCATTATATTGAGAGGTAGGGGTGGCAATTGGGCGGGTTAGGTTGGGTTTATATGGAGAGTAGGGGTGGCAATTGGGTGGATTGGGTTGGGTTTATATTGAGAGGTAGGGGTGGCAATTGGGCGGGTTGGGTTAGGTTTGGTTTGGGTTAAGTTTTAACCCAATCCATCTAACCCACCAACCCATTAATGACTCAGTTATATAAAATTAAATGGGTTGGATTCAATCCAAACCCGCTGTAACCCAATCCAATTCGCCCAAACCCATTAATCTTATATTTATGGACTTAAAAAACAAATCCTCTCTCTCTTAACAAATAAGTTGGTTGTAGCTTGGTGGTTATCGTAATTATTATTTACACAAGTTATGAAGGTTCAAATCACATTACATGCATGTTATTTTTATACAAGCGGCTCGGATTCTGGATTTGACCGAACCACTTAGGTTCAAACCGGTTAGACCAACTTAAACCACTTAGGTTCAAGGGTGGTTAAACCGCTTAGATCTGGATCAATCCAGTCAAATCGGACCGGACTCGACCGGTTCAATCAATGGTGGATTGACTTGGACCGGACCATATTGGGATTGTGCACGAATTTGGGACTAGACCAACTGACCCAAACCGGGTCAATGTAGCTAAATTGGGTCAGTCCGGATTCGAGTCGAGTGGATATTGGTCTAATGGACGGTCCAGATCGAGCAAATCACGCGGAGGCCGAATCATCCCGCCCAAACGTTTTGGATTCGGGTCGACCCAGATCAACTCGTACTGGGTCAAGTCGGAGTGTGGATATTGGTTGGACCAGACGACCCAAATCAGATAGAGCAAGCGGCACCGATCCATCCCACCCGGGTTTATTTCGGATTTGGGTCAATCCGGATCAATATATGTTGGATCGGATCAGATCGCGTTGAACTGGTCCGGGCTCAGGTCAAATTGATTTGGATTTATGTTGGGTGAAGTGTATTGATTCAAGACAAAACTAAATTTAGTCAATTATTAATAGAAAATTAATACATTAATTATAAATTATTTAATTCAAATGAAGAAAATTAAAAAAAGGCTAAAGAATTAATACTTATGTCTATAATGGTTATCCACAACCCAACCCAACTCATTTAATGTGGATTGAGTGATGGATTGATCACACAACCTGTCAAGTAAATGGGCAAATTGGATGGATTAGACACTGGGTGGGTTCATCCGATTAGGTTAAAAATTGCCATCCCTATTGAGAGGAGGAACCTTAGGACCTTTCTCTCACCCTTGGATTATTCAGTCATCAGCTTTTGGGTGCAAGGAACAACACTTAATTTCAATATAAGAGAAACAAGTAAAGAAGAAAGAACTTACATACACGAAGTTCATGGGTGAAATACATTATCACTTACCTCCACTGTAGGTACAATCAGTGGACTTATTAACAGAAATTCTATCCCGAACCCTGTGTGAATCAAGAAATCCCATTGGAAGAGAAAGAGAAACCAAGTTCTAACAACCACGACAACACACATTCTGCAGGACAGCAGAAGAAAACAGATACAAAGAGACTACTAGCCTTCTTGATCGACATGCTTCACCACTGTAACGGGACAGGTACCATTATTCACCACATAGTTGCTGACGCTGCCCATAATAACCCTGAGGAAGCAAACAAATTAAGAAACGGAACAAATCTATTTCAGTTGCTGGTTTTGGTACAGCTCGCATGCCTAAACTAGCATCCAATTAAGCCCTTGATACAGCTATGAGCTATATTGTCAATTTTGCTTAGTGGGTTGCTGATGTGATGGGGATGGGTATCCTACCTCTTGAGCTTTCCAAGACCTCTGTTTCCTATGACGATGGAGCTGAGGGGAATGTCATCAATTGCTTCACATATCTTCTCCCGTGGGTCTCCCCAGTAGATCTTCATTATCACAACAATCTGCTCAAATAGATTAAGCATTTTAAGCATGCATGGAGCTTCAGCTTAGGGTGATCAGTGAGTCATACGGAATAAAAGATGAAGCAAATTACCTCTTTCTGCCTTGATGCACACTGCAGTATATCCAAAGTTTCCGGGTCAGGCGTTATTCCATATTTCTTCATGATGACAGGGTCCGAGAACTCGCTTAATGGGATCAAGGCTGTTGAATTTTAATAAGATTAAGCAAAAAACCAAGATACCCATTAACTAGAGAGACAGACAAGTAGACCAATTGCTAATACGGATTAATGTAAAACCCCACTTTTCGTCCCTATTTTTATGCACTTGTTTTCTGTTTTTAGGAAGGTTTAAATCGATATAAACCTTCCTTCCATCGGTTGATTTTTCCATCGATCATTGATGTAAATTAATCATATATCGGTGTATTATTTACATGAATTATCACATCAAAAAAGATTCTAAAGTATATTAAAATTTTAAATTCATCTGTTGAGTTTTAGATAGATGAATTTTTCACCAAAAACAGACACATGGTCTGTTCATTTGCTTTAAAGTCTGACATTTTAAAGTGTAATAATTAACTTAAGAAGTATATTGGTATTGGTGAATTTTTCTTTCCTATGAACTGAGAATGTAATTCTAAATTCTAAAATTTATCAAATATCCATTCTAACTGTATATATCAGAGTTTTTAATTGTTTTTTAAAGATATTATTATTAAAAAACAAAAAAGTTGTATGATTGCACTTTTAACACTATGTTTGATTTGAAAGAAAAAATAAGAAAAGGAGTAAAAAATAAGGAAACCTTTACAAATCTCATATAGATTTTGTTTTAGCTTTCAGACTTTTCCTTCCTTTCTCTACATTTTCTTTCAAATCAAACATAGCATAAGAGATAAAAAGGAATAAGAAAAAATGAAAGAACAATATTTGGCGGGTTGGTGCCGATGGCAGTAAAATGACAGTTTTGACCTCCTAACACCCAACTTCTTAGAATATTTTTGCATTTTTTAATAGGTAAAATAAAGAATTGACACAAATGGAGTTTCTTTTTTTTTTTTGGAAAATTTTGGCTGGAGTATTAGAAAAAGGCACCAAATACCTTTTGATGAAGCCAGATCAAAAGCCGAGCTGGCTTTGACAGAAGCTGCTACAGCCGGTGCTTATGGAGTGTAAAATGACGGTTTTGACCTCCCAACTACTTAGAATCTCCTTTTTACTTTTGGTAATAGAAAAAAAATAGGGAATTGACAAAAGGAGGCAACTCAGGCAAGGATAGTCACTTTCGAACAAGCCGGTGCTGGACTGTGAAAATGACAATTTTGACCTCCCAACTTCTTACAGTCTTTGGTAATAGGCTAAAAAATCGGGAGTTGACAAAATGGAGATAAGGACAGTCACTTTCGAACAGCCACTAAGGCCTAGTCCTAGTCCCACACTCACGCCGAGCTAGGATCTAAATTTTAAAGAAGCATAACGTTGAAGCTTCGTGATTGAGTATAGCTAAGGGCATTTCAGTCAATACATGCAAACAGAATGATTACCAAAGTACCCCTAGAGAAAATCCACACACCAATCACGCCGTTCAGTAGCGTTAGCGTGTTTTGCTGCGAATTCGCTCAACACGGCAACACAGCAAAGGTCCTTCACCTTCAACCTTCAGCCTTCAGGCTTCAGCAGGAGAGACACTTTTTGGGAACTAAAGCAAGAAGCAATTTCCTCGTGCTCTATTCATTCCCAAAATTCAGTAATAGAATATAAGAAACCCTAGATCTTAAAGCCAAACAAGAAGAAAAAACTAATACTGAGGATCAGAATTCAGAGCAGAAAGATCGGAAAGATGAAATCGAAGAAGAAAGAAAAGAAGAAGAGAACATACGAGAACCAGTGGCTTCCCACAGCTGCATCTCGCCCTCCTCGTAGTTTCCTTCAGGCCGGACGTTAACGAGGATGAGGTGATCTCCGTCGCGGACAACGTTGTCTACCGCCCATCTCAGTGCTTTGGTGCTGCAGGGAGAGAAATCAACGGCCACGCCCACTCTTCTATCTCCTTCCATCTTCCTCTGATCTCTCTCTCTCTACCTTCAATTTATTTGATTCTTTACCGTTTTCTTTGATTCCGTCGGACCGCCGAAAGAAATTCGGAAAAGAGAAAGGAAAGCCCCGAAGAGGAGAAGAGTTCAACACTTTGAAGTTTCAACCGTAGAAGTTGAAGGAGATATCTCATATCATATGATAAAAGGAGCAAGGGGATTCCGCCCGCCACAGCGCCATCATCTGACACAGTACGTCTAATACATGGCGGGTCCCACACTCATGGTCAGATGTACGGTGCTGGATCAAGTTTAAAGATCCAGCTACTGATTTTGATTCAGATCATTTTCATGATTTGTGTTTTTTTTTTTTTCTTGTAAAATGACTAAAATGGTCTTAGCCTAATAGCCTCTGTATTTAGGAGAAAAGAAATAAGGGAGATTGCAGGGTCATTCAGAAATCTGCATTACGCCTGTCCCTATTTTCCGAAATAATATTGCCAAGACGAGGATTTGCGGGAAAACCTTGAAAAATGAATAAAATGCCCTGTTTTATAATTAAGTACTTGTTAAATAGAAGTACTTGTTTCAATAACTCTTTAGGCTGTTTGATAATTCATTTTTTCAAATCACGTTTTTAAGAATTTATTAGGTGGGAATGTTTGGTAAACGATGAACAAGGAAGGTTGTCGCCACTGCAACTCCCTTATTCTTCATTCGAGCGATAGAGAGCGTCGACAACCTCTCCTTAGTCTCTCTCTCTCTCTCCTTTTCTTCTTCTTCTCCTTTGCTTTTGTTCTTCAATAACCACTGAATCATGAAAAAGATATTGTTCATTTCCTCTCCAAAAGAAAACCAACGACAGTTGAACGTCTCTCTTTCGGTTCTTCGACACCCAAATGGCGGCGACGACTAGATTGAGCTCTATTATCGAGCTACGAGCTCTGTTTCAGAAATCTAAGATCGAGCTACGAGCTCTATTTCAGAGATATGAGATCGAGCTACAAGCTATATTTCAGAGATCTAACTTCAAAGCATAGAGGAAAGAAGCCAAATGGCAAGTCCACCAGCCACGGTTCCTCACCACCAGTCGTCGTCGGTGGACCTGCAACTGCTGCGCCATTGCTATTAAGGTTTGAGGATCGAATGAGTGGAGAGGGGGAGGTATAACCTCGCAGGGTATTTTAATCATATACAAATTTGTTAGGGACTGATTCGTCCTAATATTTTGTATGAGTGGGATAGGGTCCCCTTTTTCATGTTGGGCCACGATCACTGCCAGGCCACCTCTTCTCAAGTCGGCCTTGAATTGGGTGTTTGGTTAAAAACCAACTTATCTGGGGTCTTTAGTGTCAGCGCCAGGTTTAGCCTTTGTCACTTCGACCCAAAGTTTGACTCAACCAGAAATGACCTGATATATGTATATCCTGAAGGCCTTGACCCAACTTGACCCAAATGCCAAGTTTAAAATTAGGGTTTTCAATGAGTCGGGTGGACTAGAACAGATAAGACCAACTATAACGATTTTGTTTGCATGATTTTGTCTCAATTAATAATTGGATCGGTTCCAATTTTTGTTCATTCCAAACCGATTCCGATTCAAATTCGTAATCAATTATTTTATTAAAAATATATATAATATTTTTTTTAAAAACTGTGGTTGCATGACCCAGACCAATTATGCAACCAATTCTGGTTGTATAACCCGGATGATCGAACTGTCAATCCGTTCGACTCATGCAACAATTAGTGGTTAAACATTTTTTATTTTATTTTTAAAATAAAAATAAAACAAAAAAGGACGACATTCGATGACTCTCTTTTATGGTTTTGTTTTACCAAACCCAAAAGCCCAAAACTCTTTAGTCCTTGACAAAGATTCAGGCCTTCACCGAAGAAGACGGCAGCAACACACCAGCACCTTCCTTTCCGAAATCTGTACATATACCTGCTGGTGACCAAAGTTGCAGCAGCGGCAGCCGGCGACCAAAGTTCCGACTTCTCTGAAGTTTGAACTGAACTCTAATCTCTTGAAAGAAACGGCTCAACGACATCTCTTGAAGGGGACTGCCACGACCACTATGGACATCTAACCTCCGGTGACCAGTCTGGAAGGAGTACAACAATGACTATTCAGGTAATTAAGTGTATTTTTTTTCGTTTTTCTCTGATATCTCATTTGATTGATTTGATCTTCACATTAAGCCATTAACTTATTTATTTATCTTTTTTTTCGCAATACTATGATTTCTTATTTTCTTGTGAAGGAACCGAACCACCATTTGCGCCGATGATCACTCCATTGGAGCGTGGAGCCACTACAGAATCTAAGAATCACATCCTCTGTTTTTCAATTTTGATTTGAAGCTTAAACTGGTATATTTCTGTCTTATTTGAAGCTTAAAAGCTTAATTTTTATGATATATTCTAGTATTTTATTTAATTTGTATGATATTTTTTATTATATATAAATATTTTTATTTTTTAATTTATTTATGATGTTACGGGTTGAACTGTTCGATTCGGATGATTGAACCGCCGAACCGAAAAATGGTGCCCCTGTTTCCGGTCGGTTTTTAAAACCTTGGAAAACCCATTACCAAAACTTTGGTAGAGAGAAATAAACCTCATCTCCTATTGTGTAAAATTTATTGGATGGGTGTGATCAATTTAAGTTTCTTCGACAAATAAAAGGTTTCTTGCAGATAAAGTAACTTTTTGTCTTTAATATAAAAAAAAATAATGATTTTATATAATAAATAAAATAGGATAAATATTTTAAAAAAATATAAAAATATTATTTCAAAAAATTTACCTTATTTTAATTATTATATAAAAATATTACTTTTTATTGATATTAAAGGCAAAAAGTTGCCTTTATCTGCTAGAAACCCACAAATAAATCAGTACCCTCTCATCTCTCCTAAGAGGCTAAGACTTGCGAAGAAAAAAAGAGAGTATTGAAAATAGAGTTCCAGCGAAGATAAGTAGCAGTAGAATAATGATCACGACGAAGAGAGGAAATGACTTCGGAGTCTTCACGTTCGCATTCTTCACCTTCGTCCACCATTCTTGCCTGGCGTCGCACCTGTACGCATTCAACTTCTCGCACAGCCCAGCGTAGCAGAAGTCATGGACGACGACCCCCTTGCTTAGACTTTTGAACAGATCAATCACCTGTTCCTCGGTGCCTGTAGCAGATCTCAAGATGATTCCTCTTCGACTGAGTAAGCTCACATCCGTCGGGGAGTTGATGAGGCTACCCATGAACCGGCAATAAGAAGAGATGTACATACTATCGTCATTGTAACACTTCTCCAACGCCACCAGATTCCGTAAGATGGACTCTGTCACGGTGTAATCCTTAATGTCCACAGGTGGGATTTCAAGCACACCGCCATTAACCAACTGCACGTCCAGTAAGCTGTTCTCCCAGGCTTTCTTGAAACTAACCCCATTACGTCGGAGCTTAGTTGCAGAGTGAACATTGATGGGTTTGTCTTGCTGCCTCGAAAGGATCGGTATCGGGATAGAGGGGAGCAAACAGTTCCTGAGTAAGTCAAGCAAGTGAGTGCCTTCTTCGATGAATTTCTTCTGAAGAGCTTGTTTATATCCTGGGATTATTTTCTCGAAGAGACGGAAGGCAAGCTCAGGGAGAGACTGAGCACATTGTTTTGGAACAGGGAGGAGATCAAACAGATTCCGAAGGACAAACAGAGGGAGCTGGTTTTCGAGCAACAGCAAATCACACCTTAGACGAGAGAGCACCCACTTCTTACTGAACAGAGGGTCGCCTTTGCGTCTCAGTCCCTTAATTGCATACTTGAGGAAGAGCTCGATGATAAAGCAACCATCAAGTATCATCATTTCTACGAACTCATCGCTGCTGAGAATCCTGAGCTCGATATCCCCTTCGTAGCATTTTCGAGCTCTTTGTTCCAACTCTTTAATCGCTTTGACGCACGAATCTAATGTTGCCTCCAGCGTTGGCTTCCGACACAGAAGTGAGTGTAGGTAGCGCAGTTTATGCTCCTCCATGCCTCGCAGCTCCTGTTTGTTATGGTGAAGAGGGCCGATTGAGACCAAATGAGGTGTATATATCTTCTCGTTGTCTTCCTGGCGAAGCTCCATGGGGACTCTGCAAATGCAACGAGAAGGTGATACAGTTTCTATCTTCTTTTTTATTTTAGCCACAAGCTCCACGTTTTGATTTTGGTGCTCGATTTCAACTGAAACATGGTCCCTGGCTTCTACTTCCTTTCGTCTATAATTATCTTCCATCATTCCTTCAACTTCTTACCAGTGGTTTTGAAGCCCAGAACTTATCTCTTTGTCTCAATCAATCCAAAATGATCGATCCGCTTCCGAGCACAACCCTGCAAAGACATCATTGAGCCTATTAGCATACACCACAAACTAGCCTATTAGTGGTTTTGAAGCCCAGATTTTTTTTTTCATTGCAATCGACTGCTGAACTGCTCCACACCCTTGAAACTGTAAGAGGATTGCTGATCGCTGGATTCAACATAGAGACCTCCAAGATTGAGTAATCCATTATGGTTATCTGGTTAGATAAACTCTGGTGGGATAAACGAAAGCTGAGATTTCCTGGGTGGGACAAGGTTCAAGGTGTTAGTAATGCAATTAGACATGTATAGAATTGGCTGGAAGCAGTTGGATAAAGTGGAATGATTAAGATACCCATTATGGTTATATGGTAGATAAACCCACAAATAAATCTTAGGGTTCATTTGGTTCGCGGGAATAGGGGTTGGAATCGGAATGGGCCATTCGGGTTCCAACTGTCCCATGCCCCATTCTTCGTGGAATGACATCCATTTTCTCTTCTTCCATTGAGAATGAAATCCCATTCTAGCTCATTTTAATTTTCATTTCAATTCCTATTGGAAACAAACAGACTATAAGAATAACTATTTCAAGATTTCAATTCCAATTCCCATGTAAACAATAGATCAATTGATTATAAATGAGGCACAAACATATAGAAAAAAGATACTTAGCTTTAAACAGCTTGGTTGATTGTGAAGTAAAATATTGCTATCAACTTACTTTGGCATGAACCAATTGTATTTTACATATTATCATATAAAATCAATACATATAAATATTAAATTATAGCCTCTAACTTCATAATTCGTAATAAAACTGTATTCAGCAAACCGTATCAATCTGGATTGTGACCCGATCCATTGCCAGCTCTATCACAAAGGACGGTAACCTATGCAAGCATGGGTTAGTAGTAATTGGTGAGAATAGATCTCTAACCATATTTGCAGGGGTATAATTAACATCACTTTTAACTTAAGCATCCTAAGGAAATTCAGATCTGATGACCACAATACATTGCTGGCCACGTTCACCCAGCCACACATTGGGAACGTTTCCTATATTTTATATTACTGATATTCCCAATATACGGCTAGATGAATGTGGCCATCAATGTGTTATGATCAGCAGATCAAGACTCTCCCACAGATCTAAACAAACAATTTTCCAACTTCGCATACAAGATGAAGAAAATACTAGGATGTAGACCTCACAATTCAATGTTTCCAAAAGAAACAGATTGACAAGAGGTGAAGACAACAGACCTACCAGATTGGAGTTCGGTGATTCCTCACAACCAGCACAAGGTCAGTAGAGATAGGTAAGAGAGTGTAATAAGCAAGCCCAAGGAAGATAAAGAGAAGAAACTAAGCCCAGATATCGGATCACAACTTCCTTTGTAGATGGCATAGAGCATAGCCAGAATGGAAGGTATTAAATAGAACTGCTTTAAGAAGAAGGAAGAAAACAAAGCTTGTTAAAGTAAGATACTGCATGCTTGATTACTTGGGGGTGAGTTCAAGTATTAGTACCAGTAACCCATCAGTCATGCTACTAGACCAGAATATAGACCAATTTAAAGATAAATCCCTTCAAAGTTACTAAAGAAACTTGAAGGAAATGATTCTATTCCAAAATAAATCATTGCTCAGCAGCCCAATACAACTCTTGTGGATTACTCAACTGCCAATTCCCTAGTTTCAAAACACGTGGGGAAACAAGAAATAAACAAAATCCAAGAAGCAACAAACAGAACTTATAGGGAGAAAAGATGATGAACAATAGAAAAAACTGTAAAGAAAAAAAACCCTTTAATGCAAATCCGAGCAAACAAAACTACAAGGAATATATACAATCTTCTTGTTGAGAACCCAGCACTGCCAGGGAAAAACTGAAAGTGGATTCTCTACAAAAGTGAAAAGGAAAAGGAAAAAAAAAAAAAAGGAAAAACAGCATCCATCATTTCAAAGCCTCTGCCATTTTCCAAACCCACTCCATCCTTGCCTTCATCATCAACTACATTGCTCAACTTTGGGTTGCTTTGAATCAAATGATGGCTGCTAGAATACTTCACAAAAGAATTATCATCGTCCTTCATGCAGGTCTTCTGAGAACACTGCTGTTCGAGAGATGTTGTCATTGTCAAATGCACTTAAACCAGAAAAAGGACCAGATGAGAACATTGATGAAGTTCCATCTGATTCATAGGTAGTTGATGACTGCCTGAGGTTGGTACGTGTGTTGGCAGTGGTTAACATGGAATCCTGATACTCAGTGATGCGCTGCACCATTTTAAGGGATTGCACTACTTCTCCCATTGTGGGACGCTGGTTTGCCTCAGGAGCAACACAGGCTGCAGCAATTGTGCAAACACGTACAAAGTCATCCTTAGGATACTTGTCCCCCAGCCTTGGATCAGCCAGCTCTTCTAATCGATCTTTATCTCTAAGAATTGGCCTGGCCTGCATGCAATAAAAAACATAATCCTTCAATTCATATGAAGAAAAATGGATAGCATCTCTACCAAAACACCCCCCAAAAAAGTAATAAATAAAATAAAACAAAAGCAAATGTAAGTGATAGTTGCACGGTGAAAAAGTATTACACTAGAAGTTGTATTCTACAACATTATATGCTATATTTTGAACCATGCACAAGGAGAAAGATGTGGATATGGGAAATGACAATAAACTTAGTTTCTTGAAATACAAGAAGAAATATGCATGGCATAAAAAGTTGATGCATTTCGAAATTACCTATGAAGTATTTCCTCTCTGTGCATATTGAATTATTGATACAAAAGATAACCATACTTTTTTCCAAGATATTCTCCATATCTCTTGCTTTTTTTTTATTGGAAACAGAATGTGTCTTATTTTAATTTAACATATTTTCATCTACATGTACAGAAATATTGTGCAAAGACTAAAATTCAACAGTCAAGTAGAACACTCTAAACTTTATTTTTATTTTTATTTTCTTTTGAAAAAGGTAATGTACTGCATTAAACAAGCAGGAGTAAAGTAGAGATTTTGCTCCTATACAGTGTTGGGCTGTATTGAAGCCTATACAAGCTCTAAACCCACCAATACAAAGCAATGGCTACAGATCCACTTACATCCAAGAAGCTACACCTCCAAAAAGTGGGGTGATAAGGGGATTGATATCGACTTTCTGATGGAGATTTTTTTGGATAAATAGAAGGAGAATGATGATATGTGATGTTTTAAGGAAGTGGATATTATTTTGCTGCAAGATTTGTGGATGCAGGATTGTTCGAAAGGTGTGGAGTGATGGGCAAGTTAAATGCTGGAGCCTGGAGACTGGAGGTATACTAACGATGTGAGATCCAATTAAATGCAATGCTTTAACTCACAGGTAGGGGTGTCAATTAGACTGGATTTGGTCCAATCCGGTCCAGTCCAATGTGAGTCCATTACAAATGGACCTGGTCCAATCCAGTCCAATGAATATTTTGGACCATTTTGAAACGGTCCAGAGACTGTCCAATCTGTTTAAATTCCTGTTAATTTAGATTGGTTTCAACTCGAACCTGGTCCATTGATACCTATGTTCTTATCTTCTATCAATGGACCAGATATTGGCTCAACCCAATATAAATTCATTATGGACGGACCAGGTCCAATCCAATATGTCATATTGGTCCATCCAGTCCATCCAAATTCAATGTCTTATTGGTCCGTCCAAATGAATTTTGATTTGGATGGAGTCCAACCCAAAACCAGTCCATTGACACCCCTACTCACAGGGTGGGAGAATACTCAATTTCAGGAGATGGTGGTGGCAGAAGGTGTTTGTCATCAGTCAAATTACTGACATATATGGTCCTTGTGAGGAAGCGAGCAGAAGCTGTAGGAAAAATTGGTTGGAATTCAGGGAAATTTACAAAATGCTTGGGGGCGGGTATGGGGGGTGACTTTAATACCATTAGATTCTATGATGAGAAGAATGGAGGTGGGCACAGAACAAGACCAATGAGGCAATTTTGTGAATTACCTTTCTCTAAATGGTGAGTGGTACAAATGGTCAAATAACCAGGAATCCCCATCCTTGGTTAGGCTTGACAGATTCTTGGTGTTAACTAGATGGGAAGACTTGTTCCATTATTCATTCCAGGTTGTTTTGCCAAGATCAGTCTCAGACCATTCTCCTCTTCTATTAACAGGTGTTTCGCAAGTTAAGACAGCTCCCTTTAGGTTGGAGTTTTTTTTTTTTTTTTTGAGAAAAGGTAAAGTAAAACTTTATTTGGAGAATAGTTGGATGGAACCTGGAGGAGCAGAATTTCAAGGAGATAATCGCTTCAAACTAGGGGAATTTGGAGGTGGAACATTTGGGATAGCATGGTACGGCAATAAAGCTGAAGGCATTGAAGTGGATGATTAAGGATTAGAGAAAGAATAGTAGCTTTATAGAAAAACAGGGGATTGCTTATTGCTTTGGCAGAGGAAAGAGGGAACCTCTCTAAATTAGACAGAACCCGTAGGTGGGAGGCAGAGCAAAGATTTAACAAACTAGCTTACAAAGAGGAAATCAAATGTAGGCAGCAGGCTAAGATTAAATGGTTGAAAGGCTGGGGATACAAATACAGGCTTCTTTTTTTTTCTTTTTTCTTTTTTTTTTGAAAAAGATGGTAACTTTATTAATGAAACTGCAGGTACATAAGATGTACACAGAAATTACAACTCAAATGTTAAGTAGTGTTTTAGCAGTTCTGAGAGAAAGAAAGAGAGCAAGAAGAAGAAGAGGAAGCTGTCGAACTAGAGAGTGTAAATCCTACTAGTCGACCATAATCTGTATTATATCGTAGTTAGATTACAAGGACAAAACTGCCCCTACTTAAGTATGGGGCAAGTGAACTACAAAAGTAAAACCAGAATTGCCACATCAGCATATAACTTAAAACATAATGAAAAGACTAATCTACCCTTACTCAACCAACTCTAACACTCAACCTCAAGCTGGAGAATATGTCATATAATCCCAGCTTGTTACATATATAGTTGACTCTCCCTGAACTTAAACCTTTTGTAAACAAATCTGCCCATTGATCACCTGAGCCCACGTGTTATGTGCTTATCTCTCCAGTAAGGACTTTCTCCCTCACAAAATGGCAATCAACCTCTATGTGCTTTGTTCTCTCATGGAAAACTGGATTAGATGAGATGTGGATTGCAGCTTGGTTGTCACAGTACAATCTCATAAGTCTATCCATTGAGAATCCAATCTCTTGTAGGAGATTTTTCAGCCATACTAACTCACATGTAGTTTGTGCCATGGCTCTGTATTCGGCTTCAGCACTACTCCTTGCCACAACATTTTGCTTCTTACTCTTCCATGTCACCAGATTTCCTTCAAGAAATGTGCAGTAACATGTAGTAGATCTTCTATCCAACACTGAGCCTATCCAATCTGCATTTATATACCCAACTACCTCAAGTCTTCCTCCTGGTTTGTACAATAACTCACGGCCTGGAGCTCCCTTCAGGTACCTTACAATTCTAAGAATTGCATCTCAGTGAGGTATCTGAGGGTTCTGCATAAATTGGCTCACCACACTAACAACAAAGGAGATGTCTGGTTTTGTGATGGTCAGGTAGTTCAACTTCCCCACTAACCGCCTATATCTTCCAGGATCATCAAATATTTCACCTGCATCACTGCTCAACTTAGCATTCGGTTCCATAGGTGTTTCATCCAGCAAATCAATGACATATTTTCTTTGGCACGGGTTTACACCTTGTTTTGACCTGGCAACTTCTATACCCAAAACATACTTCAACTTCCCAAGGTCTTTTGTTTGAAAATGGTCTTGTAGAAAGGCCTTTAGTCTGTCAATCCCTAATCTATCACTACCAGTTATGACTATATCATCCACATAAACTACTAATAAAATCTTCACGGCTTCAGAATCATAGTTGAATATTGAGTGATCGACTTGACATTGTTTCATTCCAAAATTTCACCACTTCACTAAACTTCCCAAACCAAGCATGAGGAGATTGTTTCAGCCCATAAATTGCCTTTTTCAGTCTACACACCTTACATTCCTCCCCCTAAACAACAAACCCAGGTGGTTGCTCCTTATATACCTCCTACATAAGGTCACCATGGAGGAAGGTATTTTTAATGTCAAGCTGAAACAAGGGCCAATCATACATAATTGGTAAGGAAATTAAGACACGGACTGAACCAATCTTTGCCACAGGGAAGGTCTCCATATAGTCCACCCCATACAACTAAGAATAACCTTTAGCAACCAGTCGAGCCTTCAACCGCTCCACACTACCATATGGCAAGTATTTAACAGTATACACACCCATTTACAACCTACAACATGCATACCTAGAGGAAGAGTAGTGAGCTCCCGCGTATGACTATACTAAAGAGCAGAGAGTTCCTCCATTGCTTGATGCCACCCGGGTGAAGTAAGGGCCCCCTGGACATACTTGGGTATAGATATAGAGGACAACGGAGAAACAAACTAGAAAGAGAAACAAAATTGGAAATGGGATGTAGGGTACAACTACGTTTACCTTTCCATAAAGCAATGGGAAGATCAAGTTCTGGAGGTTTTGAGACAGGAGCAACAATAGAATCCGCAGAAGAGGTAGAAGTCGGAGGAGGTGCCGGTGTCTGTCAATGTGTATACGCGTGCCGGATCGGTGGTTGTTCAGTAGGAGTCTGCACTAGAGGAAGTGAAGGTTCAGTCACAACAGGAACAACCGGAACGGGATCACTAATTGGAAGAGGAATCAATGGTGGAGAGGACAGTACTTCAAGTTTCCCGAAAAGAATAGTATGGACTCAAAAAATGTGACATCATGACAGACAAAAGACTTTTGAGTGATGGGATTGTAACACTTATACCCTTTATGGGCCCAATAATAGCTAAGAAAGATACACTTAATAGAGTGTGCATCCAGCTTGTCTAAACCAGGACTCAGATTGTGAACAAAGCACACACACCCAAAGACCAGGGTGTTAATGGAAAGGGAGACAAGGTGGGAAACAAAATAGAAAAGGGAGACCGACTTGTGACCTCCTGCAAAAAAAGTTTATGGGAAAACTGTCTATCTTCCCTCATGTTTGTTCATTATGCCTCAGTGAAGGAGAATCAGCAGATCACATCTTCCTTCACTGCAAAATCACCCAAAAGATTTGGTTCCATTTTCTGACTATGGCAGGTTACAATTGGGCTACACCAAAGTATGTGAAGGACTTTATACATCAGTGGCAAGGAACAGGTCTAAGGGGTAAAATTTTTTGGCAATCAGTGCTACACGCAATGCTGTGGGGTGTTTGGGATGAAAGAAACAAAAGGCTTTTTGACAAAAAATCAAGGCCCCTAAAGGAATCAATTCCTGACATCTCTCACCAATGCAACCTCTGGACGATGAATTCTGATCTTTTCAAAGGTGTCTCAGTCAACGACCTCAATAGA